TTGGTACATTCTCAAACGTTTCGCCGGCATCGTAGTCGGCATCTTCAGTGAGTTTTGCCATTCTCCGCACCAAGCTACGAACTCGTCAAAGAGACAAGTGAAGCCAATCCTTTGACCAGCGTTCTGCAGATCTTCAGATCCCACGGAGTAGGTAGCAGCAACAACTTCCAGCTAAGTCGTCCTTTCCACCGCTCCATCTTCATTGGCATTTGGGCGGCTGCTGGCGAGCCTTTAGCACATTCTTGTTGGGACCTCTGTGTCCTGAAGGATCCCGCTCACCCAGAATCGAAACTCAAGAGAACTTTTTAAACAAACATTCAATTAGGTCTTTACATAAATTCTTTGCTTGGTAGTATCAAAAATACTTTTACGGAGCCTACGTCTAGTCAACACCTCATCTCCCCGTTGCTCAGCCCTTCTTCATCTGATCGTGGGGCCTGTTTGGCGTAGTTACACTCTGCGGCTCACAATCTCGGTTGCCAGGTTTCCATGCCCTTCTTCTCCCACACACACACACCCATAATTTTTAAGAATATCATACCTTACGATTCTATGCAAACCCCACACCACATTGTTTCATCTAAGGTAAATTCCCCTCCGTCAGATATGTATAATTAGGAAAAAAGTATATTAAGGGATTCTGGAATTACACATGTTTAACTGTGTTTTGAACATTTCTATGCTCCTGGCGTGTGCCACCATGTTTGCATGAACACGAATTGGTAATAGTACTACCTTACCATAAAGTGATGCTAGTTACGAGCAGAGCAGTTTGACTGATTCCGAATCAAGTTGACATTTTAAATAGATCTCTTCATCCGAATTCTTCAAACTTATCTAAAAAGATAATTAAGAAGTGGGCCAGAACGAGCTGGTAGAACCATAGTCTAGCACTTTGCCTACCTTCATGTATTATTGAAAGAAGCTTTGTGGAGAAAATCTCTCATATTTTCTTCCCTACATGTACACAGCCTTTGTATCTGCCTTTTAGCGTCCATTGAGCAGTAAAACTATATCCATAACATGGAATCACTGCATATTCTATCTATTCAAGTTGTGAAGCCTATTAACTGATGCCTTTATTTTGCTGTGCATGTATATATTTATATTTATATATTTATATATACATAGCTCGAACAGACCATTAAAGGCCACGAAATGTTAAAACATGGACTGATCAACTGTTACGCCAACTACTTCAAGGAAGGCTCTGTGATCGCCAACGTATCCCTCGTTTTTAGCACCGCCCAACTCTCATTCAATGTAGATACAGACAACGCAGATCAGATTTCCCAGGCCGTCATCTCTGCTATCAACTCCACTCTGATGACCGGCGAATTCAACACAACTCTACATTTTGATCCTGTCAAGAGCCCGTTTCACACTTCAGGTATTGACTCTTTAAAAAAGCTTCACTCTTAGACGTAAAGGTGTATGGGCCTTAAGCAGCTTATCAGGACTCAAAAACATTGAAAATGAGATATTGCACCCTTTTAACTTATAGCAAAGCTGGATTTACATAAAAAATAGAAAATAAAAAATTAAGAACAATTTCAAACACGCGTAAAGCACATAAAAGTAGCTTAACTTTGTTTTCGCAACTTGGTCATTTTGGCAGAAAGACATAGAGGAACGCACCTTGTCCGGAGTCTATAGTATGCATGCTTATTTCAAGCATTGTACCGTGT